GAGGACTTTGGCGGGAGGAAGGAGGGAGGAAGGAGGGAGGACTATGGTGGGAGGAAGGAGGGAGGAGGGGGGACTATGGCAGTAGGTACGAGGAGGTAGGAGCAGGACTCTACCGAAGGTAAGAGGTAGGAGCAGAACTCTACCAGAGGTAGGAGGAGGTAGGGGCAGAACTCTACAGAGAAGAAGGAAGAAAGAAGGTGAAGAAGGAAGAAAGAAGGTGAAGAAGGAAGAAAGAAGATGAAGAAGAGGACTATGGCGTCCGAGGAGGACTGTAGAGAATAAGAAGAGGAGGAGGAAGAAGATGAAGAAGAAGAAAGGAAGAAGAAGAAGAAGAAGAAGAGAGGGAGAGAGTAAGAAGAGGAGGAAGAACAAGATGAAGAGGAAGGGAAGGAGGAGGAGGAGGGAGGTAGCCTATGGAGGGAGGAGGGGGAAGGGAGACTGTTGGAGGGAGGGACTATAACGAGGGAGGAGTGGGAAGGGAGACTGATGGAGGGAGGGACTGTAACGAGGGAGGAGTGGGAAGGGAGACTGATGGAGGAGGCGGCGGGAGGGAGTCTATGGAGGGAGGAGGGAGGCTATGGCAGACGGAGCCGAAGGATAATCAAGCATTCACTCCCCAAAAAAAAAGATGATCATTTGTTGATGAAGCGCTGTGGTGGAGGAAGAAACAGGGAGGAAGAAGAGGAGAGCAGAAGAAGAAGAAGAAGAAGAAGAAGAAGAAGAAGAAGAGGGCAACAAGAAAGAGAAGAAGAAAAAAAGAACCCATGAAGAATAAGAACAAATAGAAGAAGAAACAACAAAGAAAAAAAAGAAAAGAAGACATAGAAACAATGAAGAAGGAAAAGAACACGATGAAATGGAGGAGAAGAAGAAAAGGAAGAAGAATGAGACAAAACGAAGAAGAACAAACAAAGACGTAGTAGAGATAAAGAAGAAGAAGTAGAAGGGGAAAAAAAAGAAAAGAAGAAGAAGAAAACAAATACTTACCTGAGTTGGCGATGGCTGCGCAGGCAGTCTTCGTCAGGGGCGAGGAGGATGGCGTGGATGGATGGCGACGATGGTGGCGCACCGGAGGGCAGCAGGGTGATGATGACGATGGCTCGACAGGGCGATGATAACGATCGCGCGGACGACCATGGCAGGGCGACAACGGCGGGGAAGCAACGAACTGGTGCGGGGGGGTAGGGCGGAGGGCGCAGGGCTGCACGGTAAGTCCTCAGATTCGAATTCAAAATCTTGGGACTTCCGCGCCATCGATCAATGCAGATCGACGGCCCAGGTCCCCGAAAAAAAAAACTACGAAGCGGGCCCTACCGGACCCGAAAAAAAATTGGGTTGGCCGCCAAAAAAAAAAAACTCCCTCTGGGCCTCCAGCCCGCAGCGCAATTTTTTTTTTTTGAAGCGATTTGGGGGGCGGCGCTGTGGGGGTCCGGGGACCTGGCCGGGGGGGTCACACGGCCGGGCGCTCCGAGCGCCCTTCCGGGCGACCTGGGGTGGCCCGGGCACTCGGGCTGGAAAGCTAGTCGCTCACGTCTTTCCCTCTCATAACGTCTTCTTCACAATGTCCATCCCTTCTTCCTCCCTCCTTGCCAGCCTCTCCTACCTTGGCCTCTTGATCATTTATTTTTCTTCTCCACCTTAGGTTGTTCTTCTCCTTCCTTTCTTCCCTCCTTTCTTTCTCAAACCCTCTCTTACCCCCCTCTCATTTTGGGTGCCCCTTCTCACTGGCAAACAGAACCACGGCGACTTCTTGGCTCCCTTTTTCTCTGCCCTGCTTCGTTTCTTGTATCTTCTGAGATGGCCGTTCCGCCTTCCCTCCTTTCTTCCCTCCTTTCTTTCCTAAGCCCCCTTGTATCCCCCCTCTCCCTTTGCTGGCTCCTCACTGGCAGAGAGAACCACGATGACTTCTGTCATCCCTCCTTCTCTGCCCTGCTCGGTTCCTTTGGCTTGCGGGGATGGCTGTGTTTCTCCTTCCTTTCTTCCCTCCTTTCTTCTTTCTTTTCTCCTTTTTTTTTGTTGTTGTTGTGCAGGCTGAGGTATATGCAGGTCGTACCCTGGCGGCCAGTGCTTTTCTCAAGCCCACTCTTACCGCCTTTTCTCTTTGCCTGCCCCTTCTCACCGGCAATGAGAGCCACAACAGCTTCTTTCCTCCCTCTTTCTCTGCCCTGCTACGTTTCGTCTACTCACTGGGATGGCTGCTTCTCCCTCCTTTCATCCCTCCTATCTTTCTCAAAATTAGAAGGTGCCTCCCTTAACCCCATTTTCCCTTACCCCCCCCCTTTCCCTTTGCCGACCCCTTTTCACCTGCAAAGAGAGCCACAGCGACTTCTTTCCTCCCTCTTTCTCTGCACTGCTGCATTTCTTCTACGTCCTGGCCCCTGGGATGACCTTTTTTTTTTTTTTTTTTTTTTTAACAAAACAGACTCTGAGCCTGATGGTTCTGGCTGCTTATCCTTTCTCGGGAGCATCAGACCAGTTCCTAGTCCACCGGCAAGTCCAAAGAATTCATTTCTTCTATGTTCCGGGATGGATGTTTTTTCTTCCTTTCTTCCCTCCTTTCTTTCGCAATCCCTCGCTTACCACATTTTCTGTTTGCCTGCCCCTTCTCACTGGCAACGACAACCACACCAATTTCTTTCCTCCCTGTTTCTCTGTCCTGTTACTTTGCTTCTACTCCGGATGACTGTTCCCGTTGCAATCCGTGATACTACGGTGGAAGGTTGGGGGCTGAAGTGTTTCATGGCCACTCCCAGCCTCCTCCTGGCCTGCTACCAGAGTGCCCCACCCCATCTCTCCCTCATATATCAGTGCGATCTGGGGAAGGCACTACCGTCTTCGGTCGAAGAGAATGCCTGGTCAGTATAGCTGTATGTGGGGCAACGTTACGTCCAGATGAGGCAGTTGTGAAAATTCCTTATGATATGCCAGATGCAGCGACAATGACCGGGTGTTCTTTTCAGCTGAAGTTGGTTGGGAGTCTTGGGACACCGTC